GAGGCCCTCAGACGCCGGCTGGGCCCTTGAGGCCGGTTTAGGGGCCCTCAAATGCCAGTGGAGGGCCCTCAGAGGTCAATGTGGGTTCTCATCCCTCAATGTGGGCGCTTGACCGCCACTGAAGAGCCCTCCGAGATCAGTGTAGGACCCTCAAAGACTGGTATGGGAGCTGTTAATAGCTGGCGTGGGTTTCTTGAGCCTCGTGACAATCGAATAAGGGCCAGAGCCCCATACACCCATGGGGGTCCTGCCCATTGGTTGTTTGGGGGGGCCAAATGATATGATGGCCCCCTGATTAGCCTTTGGAGGGGGGAAGGGTATGGTCCTGATCCCCCCTCTGCGACCGCCACTGCACTGAAAGTGCGAAGGGGGAGGGGCAGATACCCACAGACATTGCTGGCCCCCAGCCTGTTTGAACCGAGGCAGGGGGCATGGTCACCCTGGCCCCCAGCTACTACGCCTGTGACGAACTATGCCGACTCCAAGCAGATCCGGTCAAGCGTTGGTCGTTTGTATACGCATTCTCCTGCACCTTACTAGTATTGTCTTATTCCTTTTCAGTGCCCGCTCATGTCCCGCGTCTCGTATTCAACAAAATGCTGCCACCAGGACTCACAGTTTTGTCTCTAATATGGTTTCCCTCATTGAGTGAAGGAAATTGCGGTCAATAACGCTGTAGAAACAAAAGGGAATCTTCATTAAAGGGCAGGTTGAATAGTCAAGTTCTGGTGTTTAGGGTACCGGGTGGTAGGTACTTACAGACAGACACTAAAGTCAGCAAAAAGTGGGGGGGGGGGCAGTTAACATTGCTGGCCCCCCACCTCCGAAAGTGGGGGGGGGGGCATGGCCCCCCGCCCCCTGTTCCTACGCCTATGGTCAACGGACACGTCGAAATAAACAACTTCTAGCACTCCACTCTTCTACTCTGCAGATCTGAGATCACTACCACCTTGCTGACCTTGCTACCACCCAAGCCCTATATCACTATGAGCAACCAATCACGTACAAAAGGCCTCTACACCAAGGCCCTAAAACTCTACAGTCTACACCACGCTCGGCGTTTGCTCGGCGCGGTTCATTCCCATGGTTGAGCCCTTTAGACTCTTTAGTGCCCTGGTTGAGCCAAGCTGCCAAGCTTCCTAGTTGTTATGGCAACAAGAGCGTACCTTATTTTTAAGCAGTTCAAAATGACAAATGTAATTTTGGTATGTCAAAACTGGTCAAAACAAACTGAAGTTTGGTGATTTTTTTTCAATTAAAAACTTTAAAAAACGTAATTAAAAACTTTTTTAAAATAAATTAACTATTTTTCACATTTTGAGCAGTACGCACTGTACGTAGTGGATTTCCAAGTCAAAAATTGCACTACGTACAGTGTACGTACTGTACGTAGTGGTGGCGGCGCCCCTGCCGTGCCCTCTTCCCTCTTCAGTACCCATCTCTCCGGCGTGTGTCGTAGGTGGACCGGGTGAGCTGATACGTTCCCTTTGACCCCTAAAAGGGTGCAGTCCGATCAAACCGTGTTGATATACCCGCACACGAAAAACACCTCCTGGTCCGTCCAGCCTGGCTGCTCAGTACAGATAACCAGAGTAGCGGATTTGCCTTCGCCGCCGCTGGCTGGTAACCAGGCCAACCCGCTCGGGGAGGATTTACAGCAGCGCGGTGCAAACACCACCAGTGGCGGCGTAAGAAAACCAGTGGCGGAGTCAGGAGAACGCCAGTGGCGGAGTACGAACGCCAGTGGCGGAGTTAGGAAAACGCCAGTGGCGGCACCAGGAAAACGCCAGGGGCGGAGTCAGAACGCCAAAGGCGGCAGCAGGAAAGCGCCAGTGGCGGAGTCAGGACATCAGCGACGGCGAGAGGAGAACACCAGTGGCGGAGTCAGGAGAACGCCAGTGGCGGCGTGAGAAGATCAGTTCAAACTGGTGTTCAGAAGATAGAAAATCAGCAGCTCTTATAACCATTTCAGTGCCAATTAACATTTATGATTTAATCATTAACGTTTTGAGACGCTTGGTGGGAATACATGTCGGAGCAAAATTTTCGAAATTGGAATCTGGCTAGTAGCGTCCTGCAAGACTAAATTGTGTTCAGTAGCGAATTTCCCAAAATGGAGACTCCGTGACATGGTAGCCCAATCCGTCTACATTGCACCAGCACACTGTTCGTGCCACATAACCCGTTATCGTGATCATACCGCACCGCAACCAGCGAGATGCCGATTACTCCCGGTTTGGCTCATCAAAACAGTGCGCTGCCTATACATACGCTTAAAAAGGCATCAATGAGGTGAAAGCACCTCAGTTCTTATCAGCGCAATATATAGACTCACCAAATGTGTCTGTACCTGACTAGATAAGTGAAACTTTTTTAAATATAAAGGTACTGTATTATAGAAAGCCTTCGCAAACGCGTTTCGAACATATCCTCGGATCAGTGCTAGCTTCCCATAATACAAAATCAAAATGGTGATTTTGTATTATGGGAAACTAGCACTGACGAAGATATGTTCGAAACGCGTTTGCGAAGGCTTTCTATAATACAGTACCTTTATATTTAAAAAGGTTTCACTTATCTAGTCATACTGTCACAATGAACGTTCAACATTACCTATCATGCGTCCCGTAATTCCGTGGGGGATACCTTTGTGCAAACATGATGACAAAATGGCAATGCAATAGACGAAACAGAAGTTATTTGATGTAGGCGATACTTAAACTTCTGAAACGCCCACTTGAATCACATGGGTTGCCAGTGCAAGTGATGGAATATTGTGGAATCTATCCGGATCCCAGATCCTCGCCATGGGTTTGTTGTCAGATAGATACTCCTAAAAATGCATATGGTGCAAAAGAAAACATGTTTTCCGATGGATCAATTGTGACATGGTGTGTCAAAAGTGGAAATAGCCGGTGCGCCGTCTGGCAACCCGGCAGCCCGCCGCCATAGGGAAATTCATGCTTTTTGTCGCTTTTTCGCTCCTTATGAGTCACTTGATCTAATTAGAGCTTAACTAGGAACGAGGCGGGTCACTTGGACGTATTCGGGAGCCGAATACGGTGTTTTGGAGCCAATACCTGGGAAACCCTACCCGCCCAATGCGAGTATTTAAGAGTCTGCATGCCCAAATTAACGCTGAGCGCGGCCGTTTTCGGTCGGTTTTCCGCGACCTTGTGGCGAAATCGCCTTATTTATTCAACCAGGGTGGGCTAATCCGCTTAACTAGGAATGAGGCGTTGAAGAGAATTATTCAAGGAATAGAGTTGTGCAAAAATATTTTTGGTATTGTTAAAACTGTATCCGCCCTCGAACGATAAATATTGTTGACCCATCAGGAACACATCCCCTGGAATGCGTTTGGACTTGGCTGGATCTAATATTAGCGAGTATCTGCTAATGCAGTTTCTTGGCTTACACAGTACGCACACAAGCATACGTACTTCCTGCCCTTGGTTATCCCTCACTTGAATGAAAATTTTGCTATAATAACCATTCCAAGCAGTTAACAGGTTTTAGTGCAGTGCCAAGTCGGAACCGTTCAGCGCCGCCAGTCTCCCAGGCGGCGCGTAACGGCCGCCGCCGGCCGCGCGCCGCCGCTCTGGCGGGGTGTTTGACTTCATATCTCTGTTGCTAGAAAAGTTGTGGACCGATTTACATGATTCTTGCATGAAAAGATCCGCCATTCAATTCTTAGCAGATAACGAAAATTTGACGTCAATTGCACGATCCGCTGCCCATATTGTGGTACTGCCATCTATTGACAAGGCTGGCGAACTAAAGCCGGGCGGCTATTTCCACTTTTGACACACCATGAAATGCACATTGTCCGGTAATTCTGTTGTGGAATCCACAATATCACCAATACAACAATCGGGTTCCATGCTCATGCCTGATGTCAACCGTGGGAAGTGTCATCGTCCATAGACTGCTGAACTGAGTTCACGCAAAGTGAGGTGTGGGAGGCCCCTATAGGTCATTTGCGCCCATGACGATGTTAAGTAAAGTCGCCTAAGTGAAGCGTGAAGTCGATGTTAGTGAAGCACTTTGCATCGCCTCCACTTAAGCCCAGCGTCGCCGAGACGGTGGCATGTCTGGGTCTGCAGGTCTCAACACGGAGAAAGAACACACGAGGTCACCGATGACGTCATCCCTGCTGCAGCGGTGGAAGGCCGCAGGGGCCACCAGGGGAGGGGGGAGGGGTGCAGTCTGGCGCCTGACATTGTCCTACCTACCCGTAACGTAACCCGCTCATAACCAAACACAGCTCGGGAGTGGCGATAAAATGTTCAGTGAACATTCTATCGCCGCTCCCGCGCTGTGAACGTTGCTCACATACAGGGCTATACCATACATGACACATGTTTGATGGCAAGTTTGTTGGTGATATCACCGTGCATACGATGTGCATTGTAAAATTGAAGTTTCAAAACATTGGTAAGTGATTTCAGCTAGAGGGAGGGTAACTAAAGACAGTCAATTACTAACACTTGGCGGGATATGTAGCATAATATTGACATCAATAACGATAGTTATAAGAGTGACTGACATTCGTGAAAATGTAGATCAGCGTAAATGAGAGCCATAAGTGCACCTGTGCAAACAATCGATGCGAATCCCAGAGCGGTTTTTAACTGCAGGTCAGTTGTTTCATTCTTACACAAAACACCCAGGCATCTGTATCACTAAAACATTCACGTCAAACATCACACAGTTAAAAATGTCATCACTAGTCTACACTAGATCTCGAACCACACAAGTAGGTTGTCAGTAGATACATATAAACTAAAACCACCTGTTGAAAACATATCATTCATCAATACAACCACAACAGTGTCCGTTTTGAGTTATTTATGCGCAATGGCTAGTGAGATTAGCGTATGATAAGCACAGTCAGGCGATGCTAAATGAATCGCAGATGGTTCCAATCTGGTGACCATTGATAGGGCACAAGTTCTATGTCAGATTGTCTGAGAGGCAACTGCGGACCACTCGCTTACCTGCCCTTGTATCCAATCACTCCGGCCTGAAATTCGTCGCGATCGAGTTCGGGTCACTTGTTTCACCAGCGTTCTGTCGCAGAACCTTGGAACCACACCTCCAGACTGCCCAATCCGCGTTATCGCTGGCCCGACCACTCAGCCCCTCCACCGCTGACTATCCGTGTCGCTGGGCCGCCAGTGGGCGCCACGCGCAGGGGCGCGCTCAGCTGCCACATCGGCCGATTCTCGCAGCTGAGACCTTGAACGGCCCCGCCGCCCAGCGACCGCCACCGCCGCTGCCGCTCTGTGCTTAGTTCAGCTGTCGACCGCCGGCGGCGCCACCGACGCAGTCTGAGGTTCCGGTTTGGGCTGTGTGACGCAACAGGTCCCACCGGCCTGCGTGCCTGGAGCCGCCACTGGCCGTCCATGGCGTAGTCAGTGGGGCTGCAGTGCACAGTGGGATTTTGCCGATCTAGCACGACTTTATTCGTAGAGGGCAAAATATAGGGTAGAGGGTAAATCGTTGGTAGTGGCCACGGGGTGCACTCCGGCCTTCCAACATTCCAAAAGTGGCAACACTTGCGCTGCCATTGTAATTGGCACCGTTAGCATTCTAAAAAAAAAAACACACACACACACACAGTTATCCGACCAAACAACGTAAGTTTTGGTCGACGCTCATGAACCCTCGCCAGGCCAAGGCCTTTTCCATAACACGGACGGCCAGGGGGGGGGGGCGGGGGGGGGGGCCACGAATCCCCCTGGCGATGGGCTCCCATGGTGCTTAGAAACGCCAAATTTACAGAGTGGGTGGGCCTTTATACGGAGATCTCGCCCCTGTGCAAATTTGGTTACTCTAGGTCAATATTTAGGGGGTTTGGGTGGATATAAATGTAAAAATTTCGCTAAGACAGGTCAAAGTTCTTTGCTTACAACTTTTGATCTAAGATAAAGCAAAAAAAAAACGTAAACTCAGCACGGTCCGTGCGCATCGAATGGTTTATTTTGTTACACGTTCAAGGGAACTTTAAATTTTCCTAATTTTAAGCGAACTTAAACTAATTAATTAAGTTCAAGTTAACCAAATTGCATCACATCGCATATCATTAAGTGCGAAGTTATTAGCCAAAACGTAGTTTGACCTCATTTGACCTCAACTGACCTGACTGAAGTGTTTTCGTAAGCAGACACCGAATTCATATTTAATTGAGGTAAAACAACACAAAAACGTTGAATTGGAGCATATTTTTACGATTAGAGCAATACAGGCAACTTTTCTTAAAATTTGTCGTGACCTCTAAGTGACCTCAGGTCACTCGAACTTTGAAAACCTGGATGAAGGTTATACAACTCGGTGAGATTAGCACATCCTGCCAGTTTGAATCAAATCGATGAATGTTGAGTGCAAAGTAGAAAAACTGCCTGCATTGGGAGGGGGTGGCAACCAGCCCCTCCCCCCATGTTCGGGCGAGGGTTAAAAACTGAGCTCTTGGGAGCGATTGCCGTGGTTCAAGGTTTTGCGTCGAAATAGGCCGAACATGACGTCACTCTGACGTCATTTCCGGCCGACCTATGATAGCTATGAAGTTCATATTTAGACACAAGATGTCAAATTGATGCAGCCGAAGGTACTGAAAGTTTGGCGTCGATATCGTCAAGCGGCTTAGAAGTTATTGCAACAACAACAACAACAACAACAAAAAAAAAACACGGGAGAAAAACGGGAGGGGGCTATGAATAGCCCCACCCCCCACCCCCACTGGGGCGCGGGTTAAGCTCTAATTAGGTCAAGTGACTCATAAGGAGCGAAAAAGTGACAAAAAGCATGAATTTTCTTATGGCGGCGGGCTGCCGGGACGCCGCGCGGCGCACCGGCTATTTCCACTTTTGTCACACCATGCTCCCGCCTCCCACATTTTCATGACTATTCATCATTCATGTTTTCTTTTCATGACTGGGTGGGGGGGGGGGTGCTCTGTATGTAGAGCCCGCCCCCCAGTCAGGCGCGGGTTGAGCGTGATCCATCCCCCAAAAATATAACTCTGAAACACTAGCCTGGGAGTAGACGCGACGAACTTAAGGAGATATCGTCTGAAAAGAAGAGGGAAGCGCCCTTCCCCCCCCCCCCCGAACGGGACGAGACGAGGGTTAGAGATCAGACGCGATCACAGGTATAAATTCCCAGTTCTGCGTCACCCATTATCACGGAGTCACTAGGGACCTTGGTTTGACTGGTAAGGTCCACAGAGATCGCAGATCCTTGTCCTCATCGTGGTCAGATCCTGTGAGATCGTGGAAAGATCGCAAAGTTGCCATACGAGGTACTTACCTATGTAAAGTTGGATCACTCAAGATTCCTTTACTACTCAGGCTGGTTCACTAGGGAAATAAAGGCGCCGTGGTGACGAAATCAGAGGAAATCCTTCACGTTCAAATGAAGTGGTCATTTGAATTGCTGATTTTGGCTTGACATAGTCCTTTTTTAGTTTCAGCACCATTTATCGTAATGAGGCGAACTCATTGTTACATTGGTACAATTTTTGATGACATAAAATGCTTGTTTTCTTCTCCAGCTCGCCCGAAAGATGATGAAATTTGCATGCATGCCTATGGGTGAAGGGAGATTCTACCGCCGTGGTGACATCACGGTAAAGGGATTATGGAGCTCGTGGACGGGGGCTGATCACTGATCTTTGCCAACGACAGACTGACGTATGTCTTTGGCCATCCACTGAGATCAACGATTCGGCAGATAAGAAAACCGGTATTAAATCCAATGGTATATTTACGATATCAGCATCATTAAAAGCATAAAACCATCAATCATCAGTCAAATACAAAAACTTGTTAGCATATTTGAAAATGCATGCATGCAACGTCACATCATACAACTGAAATATAACAATACTGGCAGTCTTAAAGGAAGGGTGCCACCTTTTGGACACAACGCAGTTTTTACAAGATTAGCCTCACATGAACCTAAAAACCGGCTTCACTTACCTATGCTCGAGACGGTCAGCATTGAATCCGCACGTGAAGTTATCATTTGCGAGTTTTGCTGCCAGCATTCGGGCAGGCAAAAATCTTCAGCACTATTTCCTCGTCGTGTTAAGGGTATTTTATAAAACATGAAATCAGCAAAGGTATGTATAAAAGTTATACTTTTGAAGCATGTTTTATCATTTTGAAAGGGTATATTTTTTCTTTATGGTATACACTTAAGTTTTAAAATTTTAATTGGGAAGTTTTTCTAGTAAGTTGCATGAAGGGTGAAGGGTTCCATAGATCTCTTAAGCATTGTAAAGGAAAAACCTTTACTCGACTTATTTGATGTTCTTTTGAATAACCAATTAGGTGGCAAATATGGCCAACAGTTACCTACTTGGTTACCTACAACTTAGTTCAAATCATGTTATCTTCTTCCTTTTTATTTGTTCATCTTTTTGTCTCAGTTGCGCCATCAATGCAAATGGCAGAATGATATGTTGCCATGACAACAGGATATGCCAGCCGTCCTAGCTGCCACATCAAACGACCTTGAGTTGTAGTGGTGATATAAACAACGATCTTTTTTTTTGGCCAATGTATTAAATGCAATGTTTCGGTATTTTGTATATTGTGGACGCGCTAACCACGTCTAAAAATTCAAATAAGTAAAATAGATTCATAGAACAAAAATTTCGGAAGGTGGCACCCTTCCTTTAAACAACTTTGGTAGATAATGCACCTAAATTGGAAAATGGTAATGCAGTACAGTCACTCGCTAACTCTGTCAGCTTAGAGCTGATGGGCAAGCGGCTGGCGCTCCTACCGTCCGGTCTGAACGGACTGCGAGTTCAGACTGGACTGAGTCTGCGAGCCAGAGGCGCCGTCAATGCTGGACGTGCTGCCAGAGGCCTGGTTGACGCTGCTGCCGCCGTTGGAGGCGCTGCCACCGGCCGAAGAGCCCAGCTGGGTGATGGTGGTCTGACTGCCGTCCGGTCCGGTGGTCTTGCCCTGGGTCAGTTGGCTGCCAGCGTTACCGGTGGCCGAGCCGAGGCCAACACCGGGGATCACTGGCAGGCCCGGCAGGCCCGGGACCCCTCCGAAACCGGCCAGGGCGGGGTTGGTGAACTGCGACGACTGGGCGTCCGTGTTGGAGGAGCTGCTGGTGCCGTGCGGCGTAATCAGGTTCTGCGAATTGCTGGAGGCAGAGCCGACGTTGACGCCGCCGTTGGCCGCCTGACCGCCGGTGCCGGACTGCATTTGGACCACATTGGACGAACCTCCGAACAGTCCAATGGTTTCACCACTGACAATGCTGCTGCCAGCCTGACCCTGAGCGCTGCCGGAGCCGAAACCTGGGAAGGCCGGGATGGACGGAAGGATCAGTCCTGCACCTCCGAAATGGCCGAAAGCTGGGACGGAGCCCTGCTGGGACTGAGCGTTGGTGTTGGACGAGCTGCTGGTACCGAGGAGACCCGTCTGACTCTGGGTGTTGCCGGAGGCTGTGCCGACGTTGAAGCCGCCGTTGGAAGCCTGTCCTCCGGTGCCCGACTGTTGCTGGACGATGTTTGTCGAGCCGCCGTGAGGTCCGATGGTCTCCCCCTGCACGATGTTGCTGCCTGACTGGCCCTGAGCGCTGCTGGGACCGAAGCCAGGGATAACCGGGATAGACGGCATGACGAACCCTCCTCCAAGGCTTCCAAACCCTGGAACGGAGCCTTGCTGGGACTGGGCGTCTGTGTTGGACGAGCTGCTGGTTCCCAGGAGACCCGTCTGACTCTGGGTGTTGCCGGAGGCAGAGCCGACGTTGAAGCCGCCGTTGGAAGCCTGCCCTCCGGTGGCGGACTGGTGTTGGACCACGTTGGACGTGCCGCCGATCGGGAGGACGGTCTCGCTCTTGGTGATGCCGCTGTTGGACGTGCCGGACGAGCTGGGGACCAGCGGTACCGCCTGCTGCCACTGAGGCCGCGCCTGGGCGCAGGCCAGGCTAGCCAGGACCACGAACGCTGTGCGGAACATCCTGAAAAAGTTAATGTAAGTCAGTCCTATTTCCTAAAAAAATGAAGTAGTATTGATTTGTAATATTATGTTATCCCAGCAAGACATCAGCATTCATAAACCCAGAAATGTGGTATTCGATGCTGCCTTTTTATGGTTCTATTTTAGAGGCATATAAGCATGCAAGTCTGCATTGGGGAAGGTTTCTTCTATTTCGAGTTGAACGTGAAAAAAGAGAGCTGCAATGTCGAGCGGTATCAGCCATTTGACCACAGGCACTTATCCTTGCTCACCTGATAGCTTTTCGCTAGAGCTGTTATAATATCACCACGGATGATACTGTGTGAATGATACTGTTCGCCGACTCTGACTGGTTTATATACTTCACCCCAGTCAGCTGTTGGTGTGATGACGTATTGAGTTCTGGCGTGCGGTCCGGCCGGCTCCTCGCCAGCCGGGAATCCCATGCGCCGCGCAGGTTTCCAGGTGGATGTATATCGGCTAGCTGAGTAGACAGCAGGGCGTCTGCGTCACGGGAGTGGAAACTCGACACTTGTGACGTCACTCACTGCGCACAGCGCTCTGGAAAACAGCTCAGTGGCTCCTGGAAAGGTAAAGGCCATTGGGTGTAGCGCTCGATGTTGATGCATCGCAGACGTACCTACACATGTAGGTATTCCTAACAGGCACCATTTGTTTCGACGATAGTAAGTTGGTATAATGGCGGTCAAGAGTGCCGTATGTGTAAAAATACAAACTTTTTTTACAAACCACCAAGAAGTTTTGCAGTCTATCGCTAGCTTGACCATCACCAACCTAGTAAGCGCAAATAACACACACCCCGTTGAGGTCTGTCAGTTTCCTGTGCGGAGGGAAGGGGAGGCCGAAGGGGGGGGGGCAAAGGGGCACCCTTTCACATCTCCAGGGCCAATGGTCGGATCGGGGAAAAATAGGAAAAAAGGACAATCGATAGCGCTTATCCAAATGCACAAGATGCGGTATTTTTTGGTTCGATGTTTGACCTGTGACGTCACAGGGAGTTCAAACAAGGACAAACCTGTCCAATTTACAATGACGGGAAGTCAAAAGTAAACATAAATCTAGTGCTCTAAAATGGGTCTGGATATGATGTATACCAACATACCTATCATAGATTCGACATGTGGATAATCATCTAAATGGATGATGACCTGTGACGTCACAAGAGAGGTCAGCCTCGAACAATCCGAAAACACTTAATTCAATCGTATTGAACGGCATGCGGGTCCCCTGAAGTTTCATCAAAATCGGTCAAAAAAGAAAGAAGTTATAGTATTTTTAGTGATGAGGTGTAAAACGCGATTTTTTTCTAGGAAATATGTGCTTCCAAGTTCCAGGACCCCCAATGTTGAACTCCTTATGACTTTCTATAGTCAGCTTTGGAGCTGAATTTGAAATTAGCAGCCAATCAAATGTTTACGAAACGGTTTTGGTGCCTTCGTAGTTCGTAACATGTTACAAAGCTGTCAAAAGCGGTTGACACATACTACCAATACCCGGCAGGACTCCTACTGGTTGACCTGACCTTGCCTGACCCGACCTGGCCTAAATGCATGAAGGCATCATCTATGATAAAAAATACATGATATTTGTGATCAGCAAGTAAAAAAAAAAAAAACAGCAGCAATAGCAGCCACACTTCACGACAGGGCCTGATGTTTCCGACTTTTGGGTCATTGACCTGACCTGGAAGGTCAACCAATGACCAAGCCTGACCTTATTGGCTTCCTCACGTCACGGGTGATCGTGTTTTCCGCGAAGCTCTGGCTTGAAGCTCTGGCTTGATCAGGGGCGAACCGGCAAGGGGTCCAACGAACCCCCTCCCCTTATACGTTCGCGGCTGGTAAAACACCTATACGTTCGAGGATTAACACCTATCCTGGTTTGCTAGCTGAGTGCCATATAACGGACAACAAAGTTCCTATAGCCACGGACAACATACACGTAAGCACTGCCAGGCTCGGAGCAATACTGACGTCACTGCGCTAATTTCACTACGAGAAGGCAGCATTTACAGAGTTGGCACTTCCCATGAGACTGCGTAGTTTACCCACGAAGTCTGTTACCGTTGGAACATCATATATACCTTCAACATCCACCTGGAAACCGGCGCGGCGCATGGGATTCCCGGCTGGCGGGGAGCCGGCCGGACCGCACGCCAGAACTCAATACGTCATCACACCAACAGCTGACTGGGGTGGAGTACCTATATAAACCAGTCAGAGTCGGTGAATAGTATCATTCACACAGTATCATCCAGTGGTGATATTATAACAGCTCTAGCGAAAAGTTATCAGGTGAGCAAGGAAAAGTGCCTGTGGGCAAATGGCTGAAACCGGTCGACATTGCAGCTTGCTTTTTCACGTTGAACTGAAAATAGTAGAAACCTTACCGATGCTTGCATGCTTAGGTATATGCCTATAAAATAGAGCCGTAAAAAGGCAGCATCAAATGCCACCTTTCTGGGTTTATGAATGCTGATGTCTTGTTTGTATAACATAATATTACAACTCAATACTGCTTTTTTTGCAAATGGGACTGACATACATTAACTTTTTCAGGATGTTCCGCAAAGTCTTCGTGGTTCTGGTTAGCCTGGCCTGCGCCCAGGCGCGGCCTCAGTGGCAGCAGGCGGTACCGCTGGTCCCCGGCTCGTCCGGCACGTCCAACAGCGGCATCACCAAGAGCGACACCGTCCTCCCGATCGGCGGCACGTCCAACGTGGTCCAGCACCAGTCCGCCACCGGAGGACAGGCTTCCAAAGGCGGCTTCAACGTCGGCTCTGCCTCCGGCAACACCCAGAGCCAGACGGGTCTCCTGGGAACCAGCAGCTCGTCCAACACAGACGCCCAGTCTCAGCAGGGCTCCGTTCCAGGCTTTGGCAGCCTTGGAGGAGGTTTTGTCATGCCGTCTATCCCGATTATCCCTGGCTTCGGTCCCAGCAGCGCTCAGGGCCAGTCAGGCAGCAACATCGTGCAGGGGGAGACCATTGGACCTCACGGCGGCTCGACAAACATCGTCCAGCAACAGTCGGGCACCGGAGGACAGGCTTCCAACGGCGGCTTCAACGTCGGCACAGCCTCCGGCAACACCCAGAGCCAGACGGGTCTCATGGGGACCAGCAGCTCGTCCAACACGAACGCTCAGTCGCAGCAGGGCTCCGTCCCAGCTTTCGGCCATTTCGGAGGTGCAGGACTAATCCTTCCTTCCGTCCCGGCTCTCCCTGGTTTCGGCTCCGGCAGCGCTCAGGGTCAGGCTGGCAGCAGCATTGTCAGTAGCGATACCATTGGACCGTTCGGAGGCTCTTCCAATGTGGTCCAAATGCAGTCCGGCACCGGCGGTCAGGCGGCCAACGGCGGCGTCAACGTCGGCTCTGCCTCCAGCAACTCGCAGAACCTGATCACGCCGCACGGCACCAGCAGCTCGTCCAACACGGACGCCCAGTCGTCGCAGTTCACCAACCCCGCCCTGGCCGGTTTCGGAGGAGTCCCGGGCCTGCCAGTGATCCCCGGTCTTGGCCTCGGCTCGGCCACCGGTAACGCTGGCAGCCAACTGACCCAGGGCAAGACCACCGGACCGGACGGCAGCCAGACCACCGTCACCCAGCTGGGCTCTTCGGCCGGTGGCAGCGCCTCCAACGGCGGCAGCAGCGTCAACCAGGCCTCCGGCAGCACGTCCAGCATTGACGGCGTCTCTGGCTCGCAGACTCAGTCCAACCTGAACTCACAGTCCGTTCAGACCGGACGGTAGGAGCGCCTGCCGCTTGCTCAACTGTTTTATGATGTCATTTTTATCTACGAGATCTTTTGACATGAGAATGCCTATCAGGTTTCTGATGAAGGTGTGTGAGTGTAGTTAACTCGGACACTTGTGCCAGTGTTGTGTTATTGTTTTGCGTACGTGGCATGTACAACGATTTCGTGTTTCCAGTTAGTGATATCAAAGTTGATTATATGACATATAAATGTAATATTTATCGGTGACCCGGCTCCGTTTCCATCTATCTTCAGCTGTGGTTTCGCTCTGCAGCTTTAGGTATATTATCTCTGAAATATAAATACAAACAAAGGAATGCGACTGATCAGATCTTTTCATGCGGGTCCTCGAAAGCAGGAGAAGGAGACATCTGTGGAACATTGGACGGGAGACGTGACGATCGGGGTTTTCGCTAACCTAAATTATTGCCCTATTCGCCAGGTTTCCAGGCGCAATTATCGTTTGCAAAAAAAAAAATCAGCAACACTAAAATAAAAATAAAAAAGAGGACGAAAAACGCATAAGGACTAGGAGTGTGCGTTAACCAGGCTGCTTTAATCAAATAATTAAAACTGGTGCAACGGATGCGCGCAAGGTTGGGTGATGGGTCCGTGGTGTCATTCACAAGCACCGCTTAATCTGGCACCCGGGCCCAAAAACACCTTTTCATCCATTCTGAGTTTTTTTTAAAGAAAAGTTGTACTTACCACTGCTGCCAATTTCTTTACGGGATTTGTAAGATTGGTCACAGGAGGAACGATATTAGTACCTGCCTTTCTATTCTCGGGACAGACAAACCCCCTACCCTGCATGTAAGCTCGTCTGAAGCTCCCTGACACGGACTGGACGACAGCCTTCAGGTGACGTGGTAAGCTCCTCGAGGCAGGTTCACGTATATCGGAGTGACCGTTAGCAATGCTGGGTGACCTGTCCACGTGACGGTCTCAGCCGGCGCCTGACGCACCACCATGGCTGCACCCAGTCCCTCACTCATTCTTATAATCATTTAGGTTAAAGAGACTGAAAGAGCCTAACACTACAAAAAATAAAACACTGACCAGTTACAGATCAGACCAGGGGCGCGGGAACTACGTTCAGACTGGGGGGGGGGGGCACACCATAATAGAGATCAGCCTAGTGTACAGTGGGTCTATTTAAGATCTCCAGAGCCACCACGTGGCGCTACGGTCGGGGTAGGGCGAGTCCAAAAGCCGAGGGAAGTGAGGTCACCGGTCATTGTGGGGGAAGGAGGGAGGGGGAGTGACGCGGTATCACGGCGCATGGGGCGTGCGTAGCGCCGGGAGTCGGCCGCGGGCCGCCCGCCACTGCGCAGAGGCTGAGGGGAGGGGATGATGGTTGCGGGTGCGTTCACTCCGGTATGGTGGTATCCTGTTCATGTGGAACCAGCAAGAATGCGACTGAAGGGAATCATCTCAAACAAACGGGCAAGCGAGAGGCAGCGCCAGTTCCAGCCAAAATGCTGAACAATGATAATTGAAATCTAGGGCGTATTCATAGCATGCAACTATTCAGTTGATAGTTGCATGATGTCTAAGGTGTTTCTAAACTGTTATTTGAGTTTGATATTTTTTTCATTTGGCACGTTCAGTTTTGGTGGTTTTTATTGGATCGAAAGAATCAGAAAAGAAAAACGTTGAAATGACTCCAAAAAAAGACCAAAAATATTTTCTTCAAAATGAACTTAGCTTAACATTGATAAGCGATAATTTTTACTTTTTTTAACCCTCGCCGGCCGGGGGGGGGGCGGGTGCCGCCCCCCCCCCATAGGGTTTTTTCGCGATAGCTCCGAACACGCTGGCGATAGAAAGCTGACACTTGGCATACCTGACCTTTGATCCAAGCCGGATCTTTTGACACCAACCGCATCTTTGGGTCAGGTCAGGTCACTGATCTATGACGTCATAAGTGAACCTCTGCACGGTCTTTAGATGTCGCAACTTCGCAACGCCCTCACTGCCAGAGGAGATGTCACAGGGAAATGAAACTTGCAGGATCTAGTATCCATTATGAGTCCCACAACTTGTATATCTCGGATTTTTCCTAAAGGTCATATGAGGTCAGGTCATTTTCGTGACCTCACCATTATAAGTCAATGGGGAAAAATTCAAACTGCTATTCTGGCGCCGGGAACGATCTCCAACTATCTCAAGCACACAGAATCGTGATTTGATGCACTCCTTGCAAGGTTAGATGCGTCACTTTTGCAATGTTGACCTTGCGTGACGTCATTTATGACGTCATCAAGGTCATATTAGTTTTTCGTCAATAACTCTTGATCAAATTGAGCTAGCGAGTCGGCAAAGCCACCAATGGACTCAGGAAGACCTGCCGAATCGAATGATATGCGACATGACCTCTTTCGACCAACTTCGTGACCTGGGGGTGCTGACCTGACCTTGACCTGAGGTCAACACCCCAAATTGACCTGACCCAGACAAAAAGTATATCATTCGACGCGCCTGAGCGAGACGAACACGATGCTGCCAAAATCGGCGCTCTGCGGCCGTTTTTGCGAAGTTATTCACCAAAAACTGAACCGTACCTTGGGGCACTTGACCTGACCTCAGAGGTCACCGGTTGACCTGGGACCTTAAAATCGGGTACCAATCTCTGCGTCTCGTAACGGCGCACACGCTCGTTTTTTCCGCGACGCGCTAGCTCCACCAGGGGCGAAACGGCGAGGGGGGGGGGTCGTACCCGCCCCCCCCCCCTCGGCCGGCGCGTATGTAGAAAACCAATAGGTCCGGCGAGGGTTAAAAGATATTGGGGGAAAATATTGGGGAAAGATGTCATCGTGCTTGTCTGTGTTGCAGTAGAAGGAAAGGTTTTGGTTCGTGTCTAGATAAAACCAGACCCGGGAGTGGGGCTCGAACTCACGACATCGCATTTAGCTCACAGGTTACCCAACCTCAACGCTACGAGCACCTATCGGCCTGCGCAGCTTGCTCAGTGTTTCGGCTAAAGTTCGGCCAAAGTGTCTGACGTCTGTCAATGTCACAAGGCGAAACCCCAAGGTAAATGTCCGTTCCGGTAGCTCGGTCGGTAGAGCGTTAGACCAGGCCGTGTGATGAGAGCGCACGTCCCGGTTGTAAAAGTCCGGGTTCGAAACGCGACGTGTGCTTGACGTTTTGGAGCTTCCTAACGGGTATGGTTGTGGTTGGTGGCAGGCCGCTGCCAGGCTAAGTCAGTGAGGGGACCGGCCGTGCGCGGCTGTGTGCGCACGTTAAAATTTGGACTATAAATTCTGCCATAAACCAGGAATTGCTTGATCGGAGGGTAGAGGGCAGGGTCAGCGCAACAAGCTCAGCTTAGCGGGGACCTTGTGATTCCTTTCATTCAAAAGGTTCGGGCCAAATTTATATTAAAAAAGGGGAAGCCGAACCAGGCTGGGCCGGGCTGAACCCAGTTGGACCGGTGTCTTACACGCAATCATGGTCAGACAAAACAGAGGCTAATTTCGGGTCAAATATTTTTATTAACTGATCTTATTGTTTTTAGCTTACACGTATAATAACTTTGTTTTCAACTCGAGACTTCATGCAAAAAAAAAAAAAAAATGTGGCATTCGTCCACTTTTCCTCATCTTCTCTTAGCGACTTGATTTGACCTTGAAGGCCCATTACCAGAAACAAAATCACCTGCGTGATACTTATGTGCTAAAGGGCAAGAAACGCTACGCAAGAAACGCCAGCCGGTCAAAAAACTGGTAAACGATACGATCTTTCTAGTGCTTGAATTATATTCAATGGAAATTTTAGGAGACATAAATAATCTTAATCCTTATAGCCTGGGCGCTCGGAGCATTCGCTAGCATTCCATTGCCAGCTGCATTACCAACATCACATTTGCATTATCTTGGGTGCATCATAGTTGACAGAATGAGCCGGCCACAGCAAACCCATGCCTCATTATCCTTTCCTTCCAAGCAGCCAAGCTAACCGGTCGCCCGGCCCACCACCGCGATATGGAACAACGCTGGAGTGCGCCATTTGCCTGCGGCAGTGCCCCACCGCGCCGGGGCTGTTTGACAGGTCACCCGCACCGTGACCTCGCCAACTGTCCCCCCTCCGCCCACCTCCCCATCGGGCCCAGCTCGGTAGTGACCTCTCCTTGAATTTCACATGGACTCGACTGAGGCTCAACGCCATCTAGTAACGTCTGGAGATCCTTACTAGATCCACTGTACCTCCAAATCTAGCTTTCTCACCGGTTTTAGGAAACTTATTTTTCATCCCTTGGCTTTTTCAACAAAAAAGAAAACATTTGCAAAAAAAGTGTGGTATTCCGTCTCAAAGCTGTGGGGGCATCGCCCCCACGGCCCAAGAGTTGGGTGGGGGGAGGGGAAGCTGCCCCCACTGCCCCCCCCCCCCGGCTCCCGCGCCTATGGATCAGTCGCCAATCAGGGCTGCGCTGGGCCCTTGCTTCACACAATGACTACACACAATGGGACTCGCTTCTACACACCAGACGGGAGCGGAGCATTGTGCATTGATCTGAGATAAGGGAGCTGGAATATGGTAACAAAGATTTTGCTAGCTCGCATCCCACGGGCTCATAGTTCGAGGCCATTCACTTCGTCAAATGTCATTAAAATGAAAAATCACATATTTTAAATTTTTGTAGACGCCCAGTGCGATTACGGAATATGAATCTTCACCCTCGCATGTGTAGGGGGGTCGGATGGACCCCCCATGGTTTTTCGCGAATAACTCACGTAAAAAGCGGCCGATTGCGACGAAACTTTCAGTACCCTCGCATTCATCAATTTTACACCTACCCTGAAAATTTCATGACCCTGACCGAAATGACCTTTGACCTGTGACCTCTTTTCCGAGACCATGTTTGGCCGGAATCGCGATTTTGCGTATGTCGGCTCGCATTAGCCGCGCGTTTGCAAGCTTTTCGTGGTTTCAAACGTTCAAACATGTGATTTGATGTTGCTCCCATACATTAGGGTGGGTGTCAAGGTCACCTGAAGGTCAGGTCAGTTCATTGACCTGTGGTGACATCGGGTGACCTCGGTTCACTTTTTCGAGTTTTACATGTTTCTAGGCTAGTTTTTGGAGCTGAATTCGAATTTAGCAACCATTTGAACATTTACGAAGTAGTTTTGGTGACTTCGTAAAATGTTACGAAGCTGTCAGAGGCGGTTGGCACGTACTACGAATACCCGTCACGACGCCTACTGGTTGACCTGACCTGACCTGACTCGACCTGGTATAAATGCTTAAAGACATCATCTGTGATCAAAACTAACACAATATTCGTGATCAGCACCCCGAAAAACCGCATAGCAGCCACACTTTACGACTTTCTAACAGGTCCCGATTTTCCCGACTTTGGGTCATTGACCTGACCTGGAAGGCCAAACAATAACCTAGGACCTTAAAATTGGGTATCATCGGCTTCCTCTCGTCACGGGCAACACGCTCATTTTTTCCACGAAGCTCTAGCTAGATCAGGGGCCAAACGGCAAGGGGGGGGGGGTCCAACCGACCTCCCCCCTACACATTAGAAGCTGGCAAACGCCGCACACATGCGAGGGCTATACATCTCTTTTTCGACACAGGAATAATTTTTGTTCGAAGAGTGCAAGCTGAGTATTTCTGCTGATAAATCCAATTAGTTCACGCCGTTTATGAATTTCTAATTTGTGGCAACACCCCACGTCATGGAATCACCACAGATCAAAGTCTCACGTTTTGGGGCAAGTGTCAACACAGATCTTAGATCCTTGTTCTTGGCTGGTTGCAGAACTTGAGATAGTGTTTCCTGATTGTTCCGCGCGGGATTCCGTGGCATTACAAATCGCTTCCTGCAAATTGTCGAGGGAACTCCTGAGATCATATGTTCGCACACAGGCCCAGGCCCATGCATATGTCTGCTTATAGCTATCAAGTGGACTTGAAACATTCCTGATGACAACTTATGAATAAAACGAACCAAGCATTGACAGCATTATTGTATTTAGGGCATCAGCATCAGTGTCAAGCACAAAACAAACATCACACCAACACAAGTCACAAAAATCAACATGCTTGATTAACTGCGTGCAAATCCCAATGCTTATTAAAAAAAACAGTACTGGCAGAAATGGTCATGAACAATTTTCGGAGATAATGCATCCAATAATGAGAATTTACCGTCCGGTCTGAACGGACTGCGAGTTCAGGCTGGACTGGGTCTGCGAGCCAGAGACGCCGTCAATGCTGGACGTGCTGCCGGAGGCCTGGTTGACGCTGCTGCCGCCGTTGGAGGCGCTGCCACCGGCCGAAGAGCCCAGCTGGGTGACGGTGGTCTGGCTGCCGTCCGGTCCGGTGGTCTTGCCCTGGGTCAGTTGGCTGCCAGCGTTACCGGTGGCCGAGCCGAGGCCAAGACCGGGGATCACTGGCAGGCCCGGCAGGCCCGGGACTCCTCCGAAACCGGCCAGGGCGGAGTTGGTGAACTGCGACGACTGGGCGTCCGTGTTGGACGAGCTGCTGGTGCCGTGCGGCGTGATCAGGTTCTGCGAATTGCTGGATGCAGAGCCGACGTTGACGCCGCCGTTGGAGGCCTGGCCGCCGGTGCCGGACTGCATTTGGACCACATTGGAAGAGCCTCCGAACGGTCCAATGGTATCGCTACTGACAATGCTGCTGCCAGCCTGACCCTGAGCGCTGCCGGAGCCGAAACCAGGGAGAGCCGGGATGGAAGGAAGGATTAGTCCTGCACCTCCGAAATGGCCGAAAGCTGGGACGGAGCCCTGCTGCGACTGAGCGTTCGTGTTGGACGAGCTGCTGGTCCCCAGGAGACCCGTCTGGCTCTGGGTGTTGCCGGAGGCTGTGCCGACGTTGAAGCCGCCGTTGGAAGCCTGCCCTCCGGTGCCCGACTGTTGCTGGACGATGTTTGTCGAGCCGCCGTGAGTTCCGATGGTCTCCCCCTGCACGATGTTGCTGCCTGACTGGCCCTGAGCGCTGCTGGGACCGAAGCCAGGGATAACCGGGATAGACGGCATGACAAAACCTCCTCCAAGGCTGCCAAAGCCTGGAACGGAGCCTTGCTGGGACTGGGCGTCTGTGTTGGACGAGCTGCTGGTTCCCAGGAGACCCGTCTGGCTTTGGGTGTTGCCGGAGGCAGTGCCGACGTTGAAGCCGCCGTTGGAAGCCTGTCCTCCAGTGGCGGACTGGTGTTGGACCACGTTGGACGTGCCGCCGATCGGGAGGACGGTCTCGCTCTTGGTGATGCCGCTGTTGGACGTGCCGGACGAGCCGGGGACCAGCGGTACCGCCTGCTGCCACTGAGGCCGCGCCTGGGTGCAGGCCAGGCTAGCCAGGACTACAAACGCTGTGCGGAACATCCTGAAACAAACAACAGACGCGTGTTGCAAACTCACGTTACGTAGAATAAGCACACCAAGTGTATAGAACACAGGGAAGTGTAAAGATATAGCATATCGCACTACATAGCCAAATAAGATAAGTAATGATTCGGTATCTTGAGAAGCAATCACAAAAAATATTTGTCCATTTTAGGACAAACTCATTAGTATCATTAAAAAAAAAAACATTTGTCGATAGTCACTTGAGGCATATTTAAATGTATTAGGTGTAGATTATAATATAGTGATATTCATTGGCTTACCTGCAAAAGTTGCTTCTCCACAACAATACCACTGTTCAGTTTCCTTGTGAATGATACTGTTCGCCGACTCTGACTGGTTTATATACTCCACCCCAGTCAGCTGTCGGTGTGATGACGTATTGAATTATGGCGTGCGGTCCGGCCGGCTCCCCGCTAGCCGGGAATCCCATGCGCCGCGCAGGTTTCCAGGTGTAGGTAGGTGCATTGGTTCAGTAAACTTCACGGCGCCAGTTACCGTGAACGCTCAACGGCTGTGTCGTCACTTCGCGAACGCTGCGTCACGCTGAAAATGTCGCCTGCAATGTAAATGTTTGTAATTCCTACTACCAGTATAACGCCTTTTGGGGCGACTAACGGAGCGAGCGAGAGGGTGGGCCTTGCACGTGCGAAATTGCGAGGGGGTACCTCCAACTGCCTTGTGCACGGCACCCTACTAACTGGTCTCTAGCGATGTGACAAATTTGAGCACAATCGGCCCAGCCGTTCTCGAGATCTGGAAGCGGCACCCTGCACGTGCGCACGTGCAAAATGGGTCTTAACTGACTTGTGCACGGCACCCTACTAACTGCTCCGTAACCGTGTACCAAATTTGAGCGCAATCGGTCCAGCCGTTCTCGAGATCTGGAAACGACCCCTGCACGTGCGCACGTGCAGCAGCACCCCAACTCTGGCACATGGATATGCATTGCCTAGTGGGTGCCTACCTACATGCCAACTTTCAGCGCAATCGGCCCAGTAGTTACCGAGATATTGCAACTTCCTATTACAAAAGTGACACCTCTTCGTTTTGCACGTGGCAAGTGCATAAGGGGTCACCCACATGCATCGGGGATCGTCCAATACTCGGTAGAAGGAATGAAGCTACCCTACAAAAATTACCGCATGTAAATCAGTCAAGTGGTTGCTGAGATATAAGCGTCCCAGAATCGTGACCGCGGCCGGCCGTCCGGCCGGCCGCTCATACTAAGAAATTTCCGTTATTCTACGTAAGACTCCGCTCGCTTCGCTCGCTCCGTAATTATGGCGTTTCTCGCATTGCCTATGTTTAGAAAGACAATCTTCCGGTATGATAAAGTCAGATGTGGGAGCAGACACAACTTTGAGAACGATTGAAAATGAGTAAAAATATCGACAAGCGATGGCCCTCTGCCGCCCTGTAGCCGTAATCCGAAAGTAACGCAGTTATAGGGTAACTTACACCGAGTAACACCCCCTTTTTCTCATTTCCTGTGTCGGCACGTGCAATGATGGTCACTCATACGCATAGAGTGCAGTTCGATACCTGGATAGAAGGAAACCGAGAACAGATTATGCAATTCTCGATTGGCGAGGTTCAGCATCTCAAGATGAAGATGGTGGAACCTCGGCCAGCGCCGGTACTGATAATAATTTATCATTCAGGAAAAAAAAACTTTGTTTTGCGCTTCACTATAGAAACAAGTAAACGCAATGAAAAACAACATTTTTCCACATTGTGATATTGGTGAATTTAGTAACGTGTGATTATATATGACTTTTTCAAATGGACAGTGATATGAAAAGCCTAGAATGATATTTTGTTTTTAAGAAAAAAAAATGTATGAAGCTTGAAGTGCAATAAGCATGAACTCCTTATGATTTGTTTTGGGAGCGCAAAGTAGGATAATCGCATAGGCATTACCGAAAGCTCAAGAATTGCTAGGAAAGACATAATCACAGAAACCATAACCACATCCCACGGTACACTGAAAACTCCAAAAACAGGACGGAACTTTGCTCTTATGAGGTATTTACACCACAGTCATATCAGTCATGCGCTGACGTCGTAAATGATCCAGTGACGCAACCATTTCCAGTGTTTACACTACGAGTACCCGTCAGAGCTCGCCAGTCAGGAAAACACGCCAAACCGGTTTGTACGTCCAGATATAAACCACATAGACAATGCCTATGATCGTGGTGTATGACTAAACTATTTAGGCTGGAATACGCACGAGAATGGCTCATACATATGCACATTTCGCGTGCGCATATGTACGTAATACATTGCTGGGATGAGTCCATTGTAATATCCAATGCAAATTATTTCAATTACGCAATTTGATTCATCCGCTCACCCGAGCAGCAACTTATCATGTGTATTGGACAAAATAGGCCTGTAATATTGTTTCGGACCCTGATTGTGATTTGGTCATCGCATGACAAGATATGTGTAAAGGGGATGGGGTGGAGGCAATTGCACGCGCCCATCTTTAACCCGCGCCCCATGCTTGGGGAGGGGCTATTCATACCCCCTGTCGTTTTTTACGATAATTTCTAAACTGCTAAACAAAGCAACGCGAAACTTTCAGCGACTTTAGCTGCATCAATTTTACACATTGTATTAAAACATGAACTTCGTAGCTACCACAGATCGGCCGAAAATTACGTCAGAATGACGTCATGTTCAGCTGACTTCGACGCAAAACATTGCCATCTAGGTACAACAATTGCCTTTCAAGAACTCAGTTTTTGAGATGGATCCTTTTTTTGCATTAGAGGACTCAGAATACGATTTGCTATCAAACTGACAACATCTTGAACATCTATCAAACATCTTGAATTTCCAAACTTTTGAAAATTTTGAAAAGTATACAATTATGCATATTAAATTTCAAAATTTTTATTTTCATCTTTTTGCCATAATATTTTGACTTTTCGAAGAAAAAAAACGGAATATTCATGATAAAACACATGCCCATGAAATACTCTAGCAAGTTTTAGACGGATATCTTTAACCCTCGCCGGCATAGGGGGGGGGGGGTGATGCAACCCCCCCCCTAAGGTTTTTCGCGAATAACTCACGTAAAAAGCGGCCGATCGCGACGAAACTTTCAGTACCCTCGCATTGATCAATTTTACACCTACCCTGAAAATTTCATGACCCTGACCCAAATGACCTTTGACATGTGACCTCTTTTCCGACCTCTTTCCCTCTTTTCCGGAATCGCGATTCGGCGTATGTCGGCTCGCATTAGCCGCGCGTTTTCAACCTTTTCGTGATTTCAAACGTTCAAACATGTGATTTGATGTTGTTCCCATACATAAGGGTGGGTGTCAAGGTCACCTGAAGGTCAGGTCAGGTCATTGACCTTTGGTGACCTCGGGTGACCTCGGTTCACTTTTTCGAGTTTAACATGTTTCTGGGCTAGTTTTTGGAGCTGAATTCGAATTTAGCAACCACTTGAACATTTACGAAGTAGTTTTGCTGCCTTCGTAACATATTACGAAGCTGTCAGAGGCGGTTGACACGTATTACGAATACCCGTCACAACCCCTACCGGTTGACCTGACCTGACCTGACCCGACCTGGTCTAAATGCAGAGAAGACATCATCTCTGATCAAAACTAACACGATATTCGTGATCAGCACCCCGAAAAAAACCCTTAGCAGCCACGCTTTACGACTTTCTAACAGGTCCCGATTTTCCCGGTTTTCGGGTCATTAACCTGACCTAGAAGGTCACCCGATGACCTAGGACCTTAAAATTGGGTATCATCTGCTTCCTCTTGTGACGGGCAACACGCTCGTTTTTTTCCCGCGAAGCTCTAGCTCGATCAGGGGCCAAACGCGAGGGGGGGTCGTACCCTTGTGCCGTCGAAGGACGCAAAATGGCCTGTGCCGGCGAAGGTTAACCCTCGCCCTGGCAGGGGGGTCGATGCTACCCCCCCCCCTAAGGTTTTCGAAGATAGCGTAAAAACGGCGGCGCGCAGCGCCGCCAAATTTGGCACAGCCTATGCGGCAACCTTTTTACATATGAGCTGAAAATTTCAGGTCCGGATGGCCTTGGGTCAGGTCACCAGGTCAGAAAAACCGGTACAAGGTCATGGTCAAATTTCAATTTTCTTTTTGCACCTGTCCAACTCACAGTTTTCGAATGATTTCCTTCAAACTTTCAGGATGTGCTAAGTTCACCGAGTTGTATAACATATAGTTCGGGTTTTTAGAGGTCACTGACCTGAGGTCAGTTAGAGTTCATTACGTCGTAATGTTAAGCCTATGGGAAAATACTAAATTTGGAAAATACTGGAGATATTCGCTTCGTTCCATCACTTTTGTGCTTTGAAACCACAATACTTAACAGCAGGTCACTTGGTGCTTCTTTGTTTGGTGTAGTTATCCATGGGTCAGGTCAAATGAGGTCAACTGAGGTCAAATGACGTTTTTGCCAATAACTTGGCACATAATGACGCTAGAGCTTCAAAAATGATATCATTGTGTTCCTTGTGATCAGCCGAATCGAATGATATGCAATATGATGCAATTTGGTCAACTTGATTTTAATTTATAAATTTAAGTTTACTTAAAATTTAAGGAAAACTTAAAGTACACTTAAGCAAGCTAAAAAGTACATCATTCGACCCGCCTTGACGTGCTGAGTTCACTGGTGCTTTTCTTTTTGCTCTATCTCAATTAGATCAAACGTTATAAGCGAAAAACTTTTGACCTGTTTTTAGCGAAATTTTTACATTTATACCCCCCAAAACCCCCTAAATATTGACCTAGAGCAACCAAATTTGCACAGAGGCGAGAACTCCAGGGGGCCCACCTACCTACCAAATTTGGTGTTTCTAGGTGCCATAGGAGCCAATCGCGAGGGGGGGGTCGCATCGACCCCCTCCCCCCCCCCTGCCAGGCCGTGTTATGAAAAATGCCCTGCCAGGGCGAGGGTTAAAATAGCCAAGTTATACGCACTATAACACAAATTTCACTATCATGTTTTTCAAATCAATATTTCAGTACGTATTTGACATCGCACACCAATATAAATAGCACCGTCATGTTCCGGAGCTCAAACTGCATGCGTTAGACACTTTTTTGTTGTTGAACAATGTTAATTTTGAATTTTTCCTTATTTGACCTGAAAGTGGCCTGACCTCAGCTAAATTCAACTCAAAGTGACCTCGAATGACATAAACGACACCGATTTCGACCAGCATGGCCTAAACGGACCATAAAACATGTGTCAGTTGATCGATTTATGATAAAAGATTTACGTGATGACCTGACTCTGACCTGAAAATTAAAGCACAATTTTGATACCCTTAGGTGGTCTAAAGCATCTATTAACCCGGCCGGGCCCGGGGGTAATCCCAACCACCGCAGCCGGGGGGGGGGCGTTTTTCGCCCCCCCCCCTGTCTAACTCCGTAAATAAGGGAGCTACGGAAACAAAAGCGATAGCAAACGAAAGATCCTTACGAGACGATTCTAAAGCACCTAAATTTTTTGACCTCAGGTCAATTTTCAAGGTCAGAGGTCAAGGTCAAAAGCAAAAA